TGAAACCTGTTCACGAAGGATTCTTTTTATAGTCTCGTGGACTATAGGGGAGGGAAGCGACCTGTGGGAACCGGGAAATGCACCAAACGTAGTGCGATCATCTTAACACCAACTGGACGATCGACGCGCCACGACACCTTAACTGGAGATCACAATCTCAATGCTCACTGGATCATCAACTTAATTATTAATCTTTATAGTAACAGAAAAGTCTCCATAAATATATTATTTGAAGCAACAAAACCTTTTACAGTGAACAATGAAGTGGAGCAAGAAGAGACATTTGAACAATGGAGTGAAACAAGAAGAGACATTATCTTTTATTATTTTGATAATATTCTATGACCCTTTTGTCTTCAAATTAGCCAGCTACAAGTTCATTTGAAGCTATACTGCCCCTAATATCCAGCATATATAAATAATCTGGCTCTTATTGCTAATAACAAACAGTTAATAAAAAATCTTCTTTCAATGACTAATCAATTTTTTATAATAAATAGTATTATCTGCAACAAAGACAAAATCAAAATAATCTTCAACATCAAGATCAAACATAGTTTCAATAACTCAATTAAATTCAATAACTATTTAATTCAAGTACTTAAGTCTCATGAAAGTGTTAAATACTTGAAAGTACTTATTTTCTCCAGAAGTTTGCTCAAGTTTAATAAAAAGACTCTCAATTAAACTATAAATACAATTCTGAAAAAACTTTTCAAATATAACTAAAAAGATAAGATTAAATAACAGATCTGTAACTGAATTATTATAGGCAAGTTTGAATACTTTCTTTTTCTATCATATCTTAACAAGTTTACTCTTAGCACACTTCAATTCAAGATTAACAAACTTATCAAATCAGTCTATAGAATCATATTCAAATACTTGAATACAATTTTTATCAGTCACAGTGGTTTCAATATAACTTTTTTTAAAGAAAGGCAGAAATTCTTATTGGTTGACAATCTAATATTCAAACTCTTTATATTAACAACTAGAAAATATATCCTCTAAGACCTGCAATCAATTCAAAAAAATGAATCAATTTGATTTTGTCTAATTTGCAATTTAGAGAAGTTCAACCAGGACATATACAGTATATAACCAAGGTTGCAAAAGATCTTGAAATTCAAATCTGTCCAACTGACTGCTTAATATACATTAACAATGCTAAAACTCTATTGGCATCATATTTAAAAGCCTGCAATTTTCTAACAAAACTATAGAAATTAATATAATAAATATCTTAAATATCAAATTTGTTAACCAACTTTTAAAATATAACAGTATAGAAAAGCTTTATAACTTTAACTTATATTGTATATAGGAATAGTACACTATAGATCTGAGCCCAATTGATTTAAAGATTTCAATAATTCAAATAATCTCTTTGGAACTCACAATCCAGTATCAAATCCTAAACTATTCTAATATTCACACAACACTAATTGCATTATCAAAATATATAAGAGAAGTTACAGCATAAATAAGGGAGTAAACTTTAAAGAAAAATAATATTCTATTGGTTCAAACAATATTCTGTTCAGGTGCAATAATTGTCTACTAGGAATACAACCTGCTGGCTTTTGTATATTGTCTTTCACAAGTCCTATAGCATTTTTACTATGAATAGTCTTGAACCCTAACAGCTCAAACAAATATCAATTATGCAACATAATTAGTTAACTGTCTATTACACCACAGTAAGAAGAAAACATTATTCAATTTATTGATAATTTTTCTATTTCTCTTTTTATTTTAACACTTCAAAAAATTAGCTTTTGTCAATATTATCATTTCCAATTTTACTAGAACAAGATCTTTGTAAACAGTACAAAAATTGTTTTAGTCAATCCAAAATATTATTTAGAAGATTTTCTTTATATAATAATAGATATCTTATATTAGTGCCTATCAAACTGTATTATAGAAATAAGAAATAACAAGAAAATTTTTCAAGAAGTTTTTAACTATTCAAAAAGAATGACAAAAATTAACTTTGCTTTGATAATACTAAAAATTAAAAAACCAATATAAGATAAATTAATTCAAATCAGATATATTAATTCTAAATTCAATCCAAGATCTAATGATACTTTCCAATAGATTAATCCATCACTTCACTTTTCTGAAAGTTTACTAATCAACAATCTATAATTAGACAGTAACATCAGATAGTGCAAAAAAATTTTAAGTATTATCAAGACCTATATAATTTGCAAAAGCTTCTCAATCTTAAAAACATTTGGATATATTTACAAACTTCATACACTTAAAATTATTAACAAATTGAACAAAAAAACAAAAAGCTTCAGAATTAACAAATACAGTAATCTTATTACCTTCAAAATCAAATTGTTTTCAGAAACTCTTTCTACAAAAAAAAATCTCTACAAATTATATTCAAAACAATATTCTAGTTTATATTGTTCCTAGTATAGTTTACATACCAAGAATATCTAATATGTTTTTAAATGCTTATTAATATTAGAAAATACTAGTCAACTTATCAACATCATCAACAATATTTTTTACCTTAATAGTGATCACAAGTTAATTTTATATGCCTGGCAGTTAACACAGCTGACATGTGGCTATATTAACAATATTTTCTTTACAACTAACTTCTTCAACTAAGTTGATACTTCAATTAAAACTCTAACTTGCTTATACAAATCAATCTGGATATCTTGTTGTACCATAGCAAACATCTCTTCCCTTACTGATATTAAATAGAACAATAATCTTCATAGCAATACAATAAAACAAACTATCAAAAACTTAGCCAAACCCAAATCACTTAACAATTTCTCTATATAAATATCAACTACTATAAATATACCTACCATAGTTACTGACTTATATATCTAAAATAGATTCAACTTTACTAAATACATTTTCAAATTAATCACAGATTATCTTAACTTTCTTTCATCCAATACTAGGTAGATAATTATAGCTGCTTGAAGCCTTTTGACAAAATATATTGTTTAAAATTTCTTTTTAATATTAGTCTAGTAATTACTGTAGGCAAGCTAACATTTAACTTATTGTAATTATTACACATAAGAGATGTTGTTTCTTTCATAATATACAGTATATTATCATTATACAAATTAAATAAAAAATAATGTTTATCTACTAATATATATATATAATAATTTCTGTTTAAACAAAATTTAAAAAAACAATTAAATATCTTTAATTAATATTAAAATCAGAAAAAAAAACTATTTTGACAATAAAATACTTCAGTTCATAATAAAATTAAGAAATTTAGTAACCTTAATTAAATCTTAACAATTCTCAAGATATACTATAAAAATTATTATATATTATATAAAGGCTATTTAAATGTTATATTCTAAAGTTTTTATAACTAAACTGGAAAAAATGAGTAATTATAAGTTTAAAGTATTAGAAACTATAAAAAATTAGTTGTAAATGCAAGCTAATTCATTTCATATCTTATTATTTATGTAAACTTTATTTGCCACTTGCCAATAAACTACTGTATGTGTTGGATAATTCTTCAATACATACTAGTTTGAATAAACAAATGATTATAACGCAAGCTTCCCTAGCTTATTTGAATTCGTCAAAAGATCCTACCAAATAAATTTACAGTATGCATATCCGAATAAAATTCTAGAAGAAAATAATATATATATTGCCTCTTAGCTATTACTGTAACTATATCCTTAATTTCCGCTATATTTTTCTATTTAAATGCTTAACCTTGAGTTATTTTATCTATAGATTATAAGCATAAACTTAATATATAATATCATAATATTTGAATAGAAAATTATCATACCCAATATAAGGAAAAACTTATTTTGTTTTGAAAATCATATTGTTTATAGAATATACACTAATTTTATAAAAAATATTGTTCCAAATTGATCTCTTTTTTTAATCCTGGTCGATCATCTGGAATTTTAGGTGCTTCCCCATTGAATAGGGTTTGAACGAATAAATCCATACCAGCCGAAAAATTCGAAGGTCTGAACTTTCTTTTCAAATTTTCAGCATTCAAATTTTCAGCGTATGCATTATATAGTCGACGTTCTGTTTGTGCCATGTTACGCCAACGAATCTCAGATGCTTTTCTGATAATGTTAGGATTTTGACGTTGCATATTTTGATTAATCAATACTGAAGTATATCTATCTTCGAAAACTTCGGTGAACAAACGAAAACCAGTTTCTTTACGGCTGGCTCTACCTCGTTTGTATCGCGAGTCGACAAGTTCGCTTAAACGGTCATAATTCATAAATAGACTTAAGTTATGATTAACAATAGCCATTAACACACTGTGGACTGCTGTCATTTTTTTTTGTTTTTTTTTTTTGTTTTATCGCATCTGTTATACTGTATGTACAGCATTTTACGTTTATATATAAAAAACTCTGTCGTACAGATCAAATATATCAAGTATAAAATTATATGCTTTAACGGATAATTTTTGTTATTTTCCGAAGATAAATTGTCACCCGATAAAAATTTCATTCCAAGTGCTTTATTTGGTTAGAAAATTATATAGATTATTTTTTATATAATGTGTAAATTGATTATAGCTTTATTTGTAATCAATAATTAAATTAAATAAATAAGCCTACTTAAAGGTTTTTTTAAAAAAATTAATTTATTCAGAGAATTAAATTTTATTATAAAACTATAATTAAAGAACAATTTAAAAAAAATTTTTTAAATACAAAAAAGTATTATAATTTATAAAGATTATCAAAACTTAATGTAAACTTTAGTTCCTTTCTTGACAGACTTCTAAATTACTAATAAAAATAATTTTCAATTATCAATGATTTAATTTATTAATTTATGTTTTGTTTCAAACATTATTAAATAAATTAATATAAAAAATTCAAAATTATTATTTCAATCAAATTTTACAACTCTGTTCTGATATTAAAATTACAAGATAACAAATTATAAAAATTTAATTTTTAAAAAAATATATAAATATAAAAGAAAATATAGGATAATATAGCCAACATTTTTTTAATATATTATTTATAATTGAAAATATGTTTTTTCTAAAATAAATAAGTATCAAAATTATATTAATAATTATAATTATTACATGTCAAAAATTATAAAATTATGATATCACAATTATTGTTATATATAAAAAAATAACTATATAAATCAGTAAATAATATAATTATTAATATTAATTTATGATGTAAAAAAATAAAATAACAAATTTAAATATAAATACTTTTATTTGATTATTAATTTTTTAAAAAATTTTATATTATTATATTTATTAATTATAAAAATAAACTGGATTTTAATTTAAAAAAACTCTTTACCATATACAATATTTTTCTTAAAAAAATTTTTTTATGGTAATCTTTCAAAATTAGAAAAAAAAACCTTTTTGCTTTCCAATATCCACAAGTCCTCTATACTTCTTTAACTTTCACTACTAAAAATCTCAAAAAACTAAAAAAATATACTTATATATCAAGATGGGATCTCTAGTTAGGAGTAAGCAAGCTTGAAGAACTTGCTTTTCTTCTGAATTGCATAAGGAATGGCTTGTGACAGTTGTTTTTTTACAAGTTTTCCTTGGAATTTTTTCTATTTTTATTTTTTATTAAAACACTTCTTATTAATATACAAATACTTTTAAATATTTATATTCTTGATTTAAAAGACTTTCTTTTATTCCAAAACACAAATTCTTACCTCAACTTTATTTATATCACTGGCTTGGAGAACACTGGTATATACAAAAAACAACTTTCACCATTACTTAATATATTTTATTATGTTACAAAAAAATTAAAAATTCTTGTTCAAAAATTTTTTCTCAAAAAACCATAATCAGTTTGCCCCTGGCAACTGATTAACATCTTTTTTTTTTTTTAATTCTGCAATCTGATTGATGTCATTTATTTATTAAATCATAAAGAACCATTACATATACGAGAATACATGCAAAATATAAATTTTCTCGACCCAACTTATCTGTATGCAGCTGAAGCCTCTAGATACAATTTATGGGTATGATATATTGTTTCTCTAAAAGATAGAATTAAGATCTCAAACTTCTGATAGGATCAAAACCTGCAGATTATTTTTACAGTCATGACCATAAATCTAAATTGTGTCATCTCCTCTTGTAAAAACTATGCAAAGAAATAAAAAAGAATTTTTTTTTGCCAAAATGAAAAGAAAAAAAAGCTAGCATATATTCTAACTATCATTGAAAAGATTATCCCAATGAACTTAAAACCCAAGCCCCTCATGGTTTTCCACTTCTCACCACCTGTGACCAGTCAAACTGTTTAATTTTCATTGAAGTATTCAATGTTGAAAAACATTTAGGAACACTTCCAGAAAAGTATTTCTTGAAACTTTATGCTTGAAGACTTTTAACCAGAAAGGATGTTGGTTTTCTATTGTTGATTGCTCTCCCAAGCCATGTCTTTTGGAATTAATGTTTCACTCAACTGATGAATAGTTTCAAGATCTCTTTCTCTAACCTTTTTGAAATAAATATCAATATTTCAACTTTTTACCAGATTGGGATAGGACCTAGACCTTGTTGTTACTTCCTGTCCTCAAGAAAGAATAGGAAAGACTGATTAACATCTTATTTTCAACCAATCACACATTACCAAATATTCAAACACATTTATTATACCTGCTAAAGATCAATATAAACA